GTTAGTTCAATGTGGGTATGATGAGCGTCTGTTCGGCTTACATAGTCTACGCTCAGGGGGCGTGACTGCCGCAGCTAATGCTGGTGTGCAGGATAGACTTTTAAGTAAACATGGTAGATGGAGAAGTGATTTTGTTAGGGATAGGTATATATCTGAGTCTACATCAAACATGTTAGGGGTCTCACAGGCCCTTGGTTTGTAGAAATGTAATGAAATTAAACGAGCAGGGAAAAACGTTTGTTGTCTTGCCCGTTCTTTGGCTTACTTGATACGGTGCTCTGCTGCTATGGTTAAGGGTGTATGTTATCCGTTATTATAAGATAAATGGAAAATATTTTATTTACGATAGATTTCTATAGGAAATAAATGTATTTTCCATTGGTCTGAGGGCGCCTTTGGTGTGTTGGGTCACTTGACCGATTCCATTCGCTGTGACACGTCGCTTGTATTTCAGCGACGTGTCATGAGTCTTTAGATATGTTTCTAATCGTATGTTTCTCTTTGCAGGCTCTAGTATGGGACGCCCAACAGACTTATGTTGCTGGTTGAACAATGTGTATTTTGTTCTCTTTGCCGCGTTTGCCCTACAGCGTCGCAGTCACAGCAATGGAGATACGGTGCTCTGCTGTTGATACGGTGCTCTGCTGCTATGGTTAAGGGTGTATGTTATGTTGGGTGGGCGCGATAAGATAAATGGAAAATATTTTATTTACGATAGATTTCTATAGGAAATAAATCAATATGTATCTGCACTCCCCGATTCTGGACTTAAATCTTGTTATGTCTATGTCTTTATACAATGTAGTTTCTTAGATGAAGGGTGCATCCAGACGTGCTTGCGTCCTATCACCACACAGACTTTTTCAATCACTGTGTACCCCTCATATGAAGACGGCTTTAAATTAAATATAAATAACAAATTGCCAAAATTTGTAGGAACTCATTCCAAGTATTAAGCCTATAGAATACTAAAACTATTAATATTAATCCTCATTAACGTATTCTTTATATACCGGTAATGAATAAAGAGATATGTTACAACTTACATTGGAATTTTTTGACATATAGTATATAGCCTGACTTGCACTAATAAATGGGTAATACGACCCCTTAAATGACACCCTTGACTTTTGAGTTGTCCATAGCACAGTTAGCTTTACCTTGTTCCAAAGTACTATAACAAGCTTTAGCATCTATAAATAAGAGGACTTTTATAGCAAACCTGTATTTGCCACACCCTTTCACTTTGGTAGTAGTTACAAGTGAATGCTTTCTGCTATACTAGTTTCACAATTAGCATATAAGCCGACACCTGCACTCTTTGGCATATAACAGTACATAGGTAATCACTGTATTAGACTTTGCACAGTAAGCATGTAATCATACTGATTACTAATGATACTAACAACACTAAAAAAAAAATTAATAATAATAATACTAATCATAATAATAATAATACTAATAATAATTATAATAATAATAATAATAATGTATAGGTGGAATTTTGCCCTACCTGATGTGGAAATGTACCGAATACTCAGTAAATTTGAAAACAATTTCGAAAAAAATCGCAAGTTGTTCTCGGGTGGGACTCGTTCACTAGCCTGGCAAATGTACTGAGTATTTGGTACATTTCCACGTCAGTTAGGGCAAATTAAACCTATACATGTTTCTCCTGACGCAAATCCAGTTACTGTCTATTATTCCATCACGACAATAACAATTACTATCAATAATAATAATAATAATAATAATAATAATAATAATAATAATAATAATAATAATAAATCATCACCAATAACAACAATGAAGAGCAACCATCTAATCTGTCCTGACAGAAGGCTTAATTTTCAGTAAAATTTGGATCCCGGGTAAATATTTTACAAATTTCTCCTGTAGGACACTTTCTACATTAATCAATAGAGTATTTTCTCTCGTACACCTTTGCATACAGTACATGTAGTTAACAGTACAAAGATAAATATTATTGTGCACTCGTTAGATATGCATCAAATCTGTCTATTTATACTGAATAAAAATAACAATTGATACTATATCAGAAGCCGATATTGTTGGTGACCGATAAATGCTCATTCATACGGATTCCCCCCAATATTTAACATGTGACTTGATTCTTACCTTAACTTAAAACTACTCACGTCTCGATGCTTAATACCAGACATTTTGTAGCAAGAACAACCAGGAATACAGTAAACGTCTGCAGGCAGGGTAAGTACCGTATGGATACAGGGTCAATATATTGTGATGTGTCAAGCGGGTAGTTAAAGGCTTCGCCACCTTCTATTGTCTGGATTATTTATGATACTCTATTGAATAACAGGTCATTTAGGATTTCAGGAACTACAGTATTATTGTTACCTATTGAGGCAAATAGCTGATTCATCGCTATGAAGTATCATTGTCCTTGTTTTGACCAGGATGCTTCAAATTTATATGGTTATTATCATTGTCAATATGTTTTTGAATCTATGCCCTCTCGAGACACTATGTTCTCGTCTAGCAGTTAACCCTGTAACATCGAGTAAATGCGGTATGAAGGAATGATTGGATGAGTCATGAGCTTAAAATAAAAATGAATTTAAAGACGTGTCCTACAAAGTTCACTAAAATAACCACTACAGTCACAATACCACACACTTCCTGATAATCCGTTACCTATACTATATAGGCAGTATAGGGCATAAATACACCCTAGGTATTCAAACTTTTTAAGTTTGTGGCCAGTGCCAATCCTTTGAAACAGTGGCAGGCCAAGATAAATTGCGTACTTTCCAATTTTTTTTTTCTCAATGCTACTAGCCCCTTCCATGGTTCTAAACATCAACTATGATAGGCAATTGTTTTGTAAAAATGTATAGCACGAGGAACGCTTTCAGGGTAAAAATGTTTTCAAAGCAGTTTTTTAAACAGAAGGATATCAGTGGCGGATCCAGGAATTCAAAATACAGGGGGCCAGGGGAGGTACTTTCACAAATGGAGGATCTGTAGC